GATCTCTTGTATTACTCTTTTATTCTCTCTCTAACTTAAACCAGGTTACCAGAAGACTGAAAATTAAGAGATATTAAATAAAGTAGTTCCTCTGTGGTCAAGGTTCAGCCTCTCTGTTTCTACAATATCAGAAGGAAAGTTGCTTATGTACTGAATATGCACAGACTTTTTTTGCCATTATTCCCTTACTGTCATCTACATAACAGTGATTTGCATAGCACTTGTGTTAGGTAACAATGATTTAAAGCCTGGTGGAGATATTATGCCATGAAGAGTCTTGAGCGGCTTAACAAAACGTATCTTAGGGGTGTCCAGGAACCAATCTCATGTGAACACTGTGAGAGCCCTCAATTGGCCTAGATAGTATAAAAAACCTCCAGAGCCATTAAGGGTAAATTCACCATTAATTTACCCTGTTTCTTTGGTCATTTGACTCCCAGAGAGTTTCCTCATATCCCCTTGTTTTCCTCATCTCTCATACTAACTTCTTATTCTTACTGATGTTAAAAACTTAGGGGAAATTTATGTCTGGCCATGATCCCAAATATTAAGTTAAAGTCCAAAGGTAATGGAAGGGTTGGGGGGCACTACACAAACAGAAAACAGCATCAGAGACCAACCCCACTCCTCAGGTACAGCCACCTTCTTACAAGGGGAAGGTCATACCATACCGTCAAGAAATAGACTCTTGTGTAATTTGGAGAATATATGTCTTTGCTTAAGTTTTCATCTTGCAGAGTCAACATGAGGAGCTGAAGAAACAGCACAGTGACTTGGAGGAGGAACATCGCAAGCAAGGGGAAGACTTCAGCAGAACATTCAGTGACCATAAACAGAGATACTTGCAGCTTCAACAAGAAAAGGAACAAGAACTTTCTAAGCTAAAAGGTATTTGATAGGGTCTGGAGAAGTGGCACAGTGGGGAAGGGAACTTGTGCAAACAGGAGGATCTGAGTTCAAATCCCTAGCACCCAAGTAAATGCTGTGCATGGTCCTACATATTTGACCCCAGCATTGTGGAACCAGAGCTAGGCAAATCCCAGAAGTCCTCTGGTCAAGCAGCCTAGCCTAATTAGTGAGCTCCAGGTTCACTGAGAGACCCTGTCTCAATAAATAAGGGGGATTGTGATAGAGGAAGACACTCAATGTCCTCCTGTAGCCTCAGTATGTGCACATACATCACATGCACATAAACACACAAGCTGGCACACACAAGGTATTTTAAAATTAAACAAGTCATATTTAACTAAGTTCTCAGTGATAACATTAATGTTTCACTGCACAACATTCTCCTGTTTGCTTTCTGCTGGAGATGAATTTGCATTGATCTTGTGATCATGCACCAACCACTTGTTTCTCAGTAACATTTCATGTCTTTATCACCTGTGTTTGTTTAGCAAACCCAAGCCAAGCAGACTCGTCAGTCTTAGTGGGGCAAATGGCCCTGTTGGGCAAGACCATTCTTACCGTGCAGGTTGTAAGAATTTTAGTGTCTCTCTTTCCTAGTTTCCTACTCCTTAAAAGCCTTTAATATTTTTCAGTTATTGCATGATCAAAACCTGCTTCACACATTAAAGATATCCAAGGTAATAGATTGCTTGTTGATCAAAAATGGGCTCTACCTTCAAATTGCTCTGAATCTTGTTGTCAGTCATTGCTTACATGACCTTGGACCAGTTGAATGATCATTATAGGTGCCATTGGCCTTGTCTGTAAAGTTATATAATTGTATGCTGGAGAGATGGCTCAACAGTTAAGAACACTGGCTGTTCTTGCAGAAGACCCGGGTTTGAATCCCAGTACCCACATGGAAGCTAACAAGTGTCCTTAACTCCAGTCCCAGGGGATCCAACAGCCTCTTCCGTCCTCCTCAGGCATTGTACAACACGGTTGCACTTACCTACATGTAGGGAATACACACATACAGATAAAAATAATAAATAAGGAAAAAAAGACAGCTAATGAAAACCTTCGTTATTTCACCAAATAAATAAAATAAATTTAAA